CGTCTTTATATATATATATATATAGATGAAGGATATTCAGTTCAGATTTACTTTAATTTACAGAGATATAGGTAACTTGATTTGTTTGAATGATAAAACTATTAACAGCTATATTACTAGCACGTATTCTACTGAATTGTAAATTGAAAGTCCTACAATATTTGAAACGCAAACTCATTACTTAGTTTAGACATAAAAAATATGAAACCGTTCAGTAGAAATAAATAGTTTTTTTTTAAGAAAGTCGAGAATTTTCTTCTAACAATGATTTTATTTCACCTAACAATAATATTCCTTCATCTTAATGGTTAGCGACTTCAGATTATGAATCGGTGGGTTCGTGTTCGCGTCCCGTTGCTGTAAAATCGGCTTTCGCAATTTGGGACGTGGGTCAAATCCCACTCTTTGGTTAAACACAAGTAACCAAGGAGTTGGAGTTGGGTGCTGTTGAATATATGCCTTCTTTCTTGTATATCAAGGACAACTATACCAAGATAGACCTTTGTGTAACTTTGTACGGAAATTCTCAAACAAGCATGTCTAATTTCAGAAATTACACTATATTGTAATTTTTTTTACCAATGTAAACCTTTTATTTACAACAATTTTCACCTATGTAATTTACAATAGTAAATATTCGAGCTGTCACTGTTGCAGGTTTTCTTGCAACTGCTGTTGTCTCTCTTCTTGTTTCTTTTGCTGTTCTTGTATTGCTGCCATCAAATCTGCTACGCTGTAGTTTGATTTTCCGCCTCTCGTTTCCACCTTCTTTTTTTTTTCTATCCCACTCTCTGACACCAATTTGTTACGTCTCCGTTCGTTAGTTAATTTTCCGTAAATTCGTTCCGACGAAACTTTAGCGACACAAGTCCTTTCTTAAATAAAACTGGTTTATTCTTTCTGAATATAACTTTGCGATACACTTAATTTCAACAGTCGCGTTATAATTCTCAACGAACGTCTCACGTGCTCGACTTCAACAATACTCTGTTCAATTACACACTCTCTGACTGCAGTTCAATTACTCATTACCTCCCCGTCGCTTCGTGGCCGGTCTTATATATACAAAACTACACTATATCTAGAAAGATCACGAGATTTAAGGAAAAGACATGAATGTTCGAGAATGACCTGGCGTGATTCTAGTCACGTGACCTCGCTGACGCAACAATATATATACACACACATTAAAATATATTCTGTCCTGTAACATTAGCAAATAAAATTTAAAGAAGTGACTTTTCAGGCTTTTAACGTGGGTACTCATATTTGTATTAAGTAATTTATTTGGACGATCACCAGTCTGGCACCTGTAGAAGGCTTGGGTAATTCGGCCAAAATCGTGTGCATTAAAAAAAACGTAGTGATTATTCGAATATATTACTTAATATAAAACTCACAGTTTTTATTTTATCAATATAATGTCATTTAAAATATCTTTAAAATAGAATAACAGACACGCCATGAATAAGAATTTTGCTGGGGAAGAGATAAATGATAAGGATATTTGCATTTAGAAAATATCACAAAACAACTGTATAATATGAGACACAAATTGATACATTTCTAAAATAATATGCAAACATTTTGCGTTATTCTTTGTTGGCTGTTTTCCAAATTATAAATCGTGATTATACTCTTACAAAATAGCGGTGTTTTCAATAAACCATGCCACACCGAATTTTCTTAGAAGCGACGGCTAAAGGCTAGGTCTTTGTTAGAATCTATGTATCATCAAACTTCCGAACAATTTTAGAAAAAGGGCAGAAATCCCTGTTAAGATGGGTTCATCGATGATTAAATCATTATAAAACAGTCTATAATATTATTGGCTCAGATCAATCTTTTCTTTCCAAACTGAACGATCTTAAACAGTTATGAAGCCATAAAAATCGGTAAACAACAAATTGACATTTTTTTCATATTAAACAAAAACATTATTGAAAAACATACAATAACTGTAAATCTACCAAAGCTGTGTCTTAAACATTCTCATTCAAATATATGAAGTGGTAAGAAGAAAAATACTGTAAATAGCCTCATTTTTTCGTATTTAAATTTTAAAACCGCAGGAAGGTGAACCAATGGAGGGAGGGAGGGAGGGGGGTAATTTAAAGGTTGAATTTTCTGAAGATTACTGTATGATGGATTATCGAAAGTAACGAGATTATTGTAAAATACAAAAAATAAATAAATTTTAAACTTCAAAAACTCTTACCAATTCAATTAAAGCTGTATATATATAAAGTGGTTAAGACAAATATAAATATAAAGCAAGCCGCTCATGATTAATTTAGTTTTTAAATAGTATAAAAAGGGACTTTTATTGTTAAGGATACAGAATACTCACATAGGCAAATATCAATTTTACTTTTCAAGTAAAATATCTACAACTGTATCAAGAATAGCAGCAAGAAACCTCAATATAGTTTTTGTTTACCAAACTTGTGATATACCTGTAAGATCCTTCTGCAACTTTGGAACGGAGTTTAATTCATTATATTAAATAAGTTGTTGTTGTTTTGCACTCATGCTGATTTTAGTTTAATTTTATGAGTTGAGATTGTGAGAGAATATTAATTGTTATCGAATTATACAAGAGGATAATATAGTTCCACCGTATCTTTGTAATATTTCTATTCTGTCATTCAGCGGAGGTTAAGTGTATTGTCTCAATAAGAATAGAAAATTGATAAGAATTAAGATCTGTCAACTGATTTTGGGGTTTCTTAACTTTATTAATATTATTGTGGGGCCATTACCATGCCTCTTTCTTGGCCACAGATGGTGAATGGTAGATCAGAATGGGCTTTCTGAATTTAAACACCCAGTTCTTACCCCTTTTTAATATTGTTCTGAAGTTTGCTTGCGTATTAGTTTTTCACCTGCGACTTTGAAGTTAAATTAAGAAACTAGATCTCCCCAACAACTTTTGAGTTCTACATCATAGCTATCCTCCTCCGGATTCATACCTTTTGCACATGTTCTACAAGTGGTGTGTGTGTGTGTGT